GGCGCGGGGCTAAAGGGGAGGAGGGGGAGCGGGGAGAGCGGGCCTGGGCGCGGGGGCGCTGGGCGGGGGTCTGGCGGACGCGCTGACCGCACTTTGTGTCCGCAGCTGTCCCCGGAGGAGGAGGAAAAGAGGAGGATCCGCCGGGAGAGGAACAAGATGGCAGCGGCCAAGTGCCGCAACCGGCGGCGGGAGCTCACCGATACGCTGCAGGCGGTGAGTGCTGCCCTGGGATCCCGGGGGGCTGCGGGGCGGGGACCCCCCGGGTGGGGGCGGTCGGGAGCGGTTGGCCCCGGCTGACGGCCCCCTCTCGTCTTCCGCAGGAGACGGACCAGCTGGAGGAGGAGAAGTCCGCTCTGCAGGCAGAGATAGCCAACCTGCTGAAGGAGAAGGAAAAGCTGGAGTTCATCCTGGCGGCGCACCGGCCAGCCTGCAAGATGCCCGAGGAGCTGCGCTTCTCCGAGGAGCTGGCGGCTGCCACTGCACTGGACCTGGGCGCACCCAGCCCCGCCGCGGCCGAGGAGGCCTTTGCCCTGCCGCTGATGACCGAGGCGCCGCCGGCCGTGCCGCCCAAGGAGCCCAGCGGCAGCGGGCTGGAGCTGAAAGCCGAGCCCTTCGACGAGCTGCTGTTCTCCACGGGGCCGCGGGAGGCCTCCCGCTCGGTGCCTGACATGGACCTGCCCGGGGCCTCATCCTTCTACGCGTCGGACTGGGAGCCGCTGGGTGCCGGGAGCGGTGGGGAGCTGGAGCCCCTCTGCACCCCCGTGGTGACCTGCACCCCGTGCCCTAGCACCTACACCTCCACCTTTGTCTTCACCTATCCCGAGGCGGACGCCTTCCCCAGCTGTGCTGCTGCGCACCGGAAGGGCAGCAGCAGCAACGAGCCCTCGTCTGACTCCCTCAGCTCCCCCACCCTGCTGGCCTTGTGAGGGGCTCGCCCCGCACTGACTGACCTGCCGGGCCCCCTCCCCTGCCCACGCACCCCCACGGACTCGCCATGCCCCCCCGGGCCTGGGGAGGGCACTGCTGCTGCCACCCCCCTGTCCAGCCGGGGCCCGGGGCCTGGTGGAGTGCCTGGGCCCATACCTCCTCCAGAGATGTAGCAAACCGCATGGAGTTTGTCTTGTCCCCAACGGCCCATCTGTGAGAGCTGGTAGTCTGTAGCATGTCCCACATGGCTGGGTTGGTGACTCCCCCCCTCCTTAGTATCACTAGCATTAACTAATTAATCCCTTGGTTTTAAATGATTGGAATTAACCTGGTGCTGGGTATCTCCAACTTGTATCTAGTGCAGCTGATTAACAATAACTACTGTGTTCCTGGCAATATCGTGTTCTGATGACTTAGCAATGACCCATCTTACGTGGGGGGGGGAAAGAGACTCTATTTTATTTTCTAGTAGGTAGATGAATAGCTATATCCATGTACTGTAGTTCTACATCGATGTTCATTGTAACTTTACTGATCATGCATTGTTGAGGTGGTCTGAATGTTCTGACATAAGTTTTCCATGAAAACGTTTTTATTGTGTTTTTAATTTATTTATTAAGATGGATTCTCAGATATTTATATTTTTATTTTATTTTTTTCTACCTTGAGGTCTTTTTTGACATGTGGAAAGTGAATTTGGATGAAACTTAAGCATTGTTTGCTTATTATTGTTCAGAGACATTGTCAATAAAAGCATTTAAGTTGAGTGCTGGAGCTGTCCTAGCCTTACCTTTTGCATTGATCCCTTTGACCCTAAAGGGGCTCCCTGAACTCTGCCTGGGGTTGGGGTTTTTACTGACATCTGACCGCTTGTACGCATAGCATGTATTGGGGTGGGAAAGCCATTATGTGCAGACCTGTCATTGCCCTGATGTGTTAGTCAGGCCTGGCTGTGTCTACGCCCTTCCCACCCACTGCTGGGGCCACCCCTCCTCTGGCCTTCCTTCTGGGGCTGCCTGCAATGGGCTGGTGCACCTCTGCCTGTCACCTGCTGTGGCCTTTCTGCCGTAAACCAGAGGTGTGCGAGGGAATGGAGAGTAGGAGGGGTCTCACTTCTGAACCACCAAGGCTGTCTCCAGACTGGGGTCTACCCTCTCACTTGCATGTGGCTGATAGCCCAATTTCCTCCTGTGTAGCTCCCTACACAGGCTGGGACTGCAGCCTTGCTCCATGTGTCCTGGGCTTGCTTCTCCAGGAGCAGCTACTGAATGCCTTCTAGCCATAAAGGCATGGAGAGATGCTGACACACACTTCTCCTTGAACAAAACAGTGTATGGCAAAATATATACTTCCCCAGAATCAGATCTCCTGGTCCTTGAATGAATGCAAGCTATTGCAAGCAACTTATGAGCTCTAGGAACTCTTCCCCACCAGGGTCTTGCCTGTGCAGCCTCTTCTCTGGTTCATCTAAAGGGGCTGCTACTCTCTTTTCTTCCTGCTGCCTGCACAGCGAAACATGTTCCTTTGGTGGGCAAGTCTCTCTGCATGCGGGAGACTCTTCTGCTCTCATCTCTTGATTGAGAATGTAATTTCCAAGATGATGGCAAAGATGCCTGCTGTGCTGTTATGTGCAGCTCGCTGAGGATTGCTTTTTCCTCTGAGGAAAACTTTTTGCCACGTTGAGGGTGACAGTACTGGAATGGGCTGCCCAGAGAGGTGCCTGACATCTTTCTCTGGAGATATTCAAGACCTGCCTGGATGCCTACCTGTATGACCCGTAGGGGAGTTGAACTCAGTGATTCCCGAGAAGCCCTTTCCAGCTCCTACAGTTCTGAGATTCTGTGACAGCATGCTCAGGAAATCTCCACAGGACTCTGGAGGTCATTCAGACTGGGTTTGTGCAACTGGAGGCTTCCTGGTCATGGCTGCAAGCTCTGCTTTCTTCACCCCGTCCCAACCAGAACACGCACAGGATGTACCTCATCTCAGCAGTGCGTATTGCACTGCCTGGGGCTTGCTCAACACCACCCGCACTGTGCAAAGGCAAGCATCACTTGTGCTGCTTCCGTCTTTCAACACACGGCTGGAGGCAGCACTGACAACTGACAAGGAATGACCCTGGTTGCCACTGAGATGCCACCTGCTCAGCACTTTTGCAGCATCGCTCTAATTCACAAGGGCAATACCAAGGTGCAGCAAACACACAGTGGCACTGACCCCAGAAGTCATGTAGGTGTAGCTACAAGAGACAAGTGACTCGGTGAAGTCAGAAAATCTGTAACCACAACATGTCTGCTGCTGAAAAGACTCTCAGGCTCCTAGCTGGAGAATTCAGCGAGCTTCATGTTCAACAGAGGAAGAAGCAGTCTCAAAATACCAAGCAATCCCTTGGAGGCAAGTGAGGTGATCCTGGCCTCACCGCCTCTCCCCATTACTCGGTAGGGTAAAGCAGAACCTTGGGCTGAGTTCTGATCCATGGTCCTCCTGCAGCCTCTCTGAGGTTTGCTCCTTCCAGCAGCGGTGACAGTGACCACCATGTGCCAGTGTCAGAATCTGCATCACACGAGATCCACTCCTTTAATCCCAGGCTCTTGCCCAGTTCTTTGCCTTATCATAGTCACAGAAAGGCTTGGGTTGGAACGGACCTTAAAGCCTACCCAGTCCCATTGTCTGCCACGTGCAGGGCTGCCCCTCACCAGCTCAGGCTGCCCAGGGCCCCATCCAGTCTGGCCTTCAATGCCTCCAAGGATGGGGCACCACAGCTTTTGGGCAGCCTGCACCACAGCCTCACCACTCTCTCAGTGTAAAATTTCCCCAACGTTTAAATCTCTTATTTGTTTTAAAACCATCCCATCTATTACTATCTGCCCGTGTAAAAAGTGTCTCTTCCATTTTTAAGCTCTCTTTAGGTACTGGAAGGTCACAGTGTGGTCTTCCTGGAGCTTTCTATTGTCCAGGCTGAACAAGCCCATCTCCCTCAGCCTGTCTTCATAAGACAGGTGCTCCTGCTGTCTGAGCATTTTTGTGCCTTTCTCTGCACCCAGCAGCTCTGCACCCTTCCTGTCCTGGGGGCCCCAGGCTTGGACGCAATACTCCAGATGGGGCCTTACAGGGGCAGAGCAGAGGGGGACGATGACTCGCCTTGCCCTGCTGCCACCCCTTTTTGATGCAGCCCAGGGGCAGTGCAGAAGTCAGGCTGTGCTGGGTACCACGTACAGCTCGTCACTAGGCTGATGTACTCACTTCCCAGTATTTGAGGACTGCGGAGCAAAACCTCACTTGAATTGGCACGGATCTTGCCACTGACTTCAGCAGAGCCCTGAGAGGGAGCCGTGCAGCAGCCTCCGCTCGGGATAGATTAAACGCGAATGCACGTGCCTCAATTACGGGCTGTATCTGATGGATCACACAGATACCGGCACACAGCTTGGGGAAACAAAACAACGGGCACGGTGTTAACACAAGCGAACGACACTCGCATTACTTCTGACTCCTGCCGTGCTCCTAATCCCACCGAGAGCAGCAGCGTAATTTGCTCTTAGAAACGAAGCTGCAAAGCAAGGAAAAAGTAGAACCGCAGTTACGCACGGCAAGAGGCAACGCCGTACCACAGCACGAGCGGCCCTCTACAGGGGAACGCGGCGCAGGCGTGCGGCGGTGACCCGGGCAGGGGAGGGCGGGGATCCCCGCAGCCCCGCCGCGCCTCCCCCCGCGCGAGGTCGGGCCCGGCACCCACCCGGCAGCGCCGCGAGGTCGCCGGCCGCAGCCCGTCCAGGAGTCGCGGCCGACGGGAGCCGCGGGCCGCTCGCCCCGGACGCGGCGCAGCGCCCCATCCCGGCCCGACGCAGCGCGCCGCGGGGAGCGCCGCCGCCCGAGCCCGGAACCGCCCCGCGCCTGCGCGGAGCCGCCGTGTTTACTGTTTGGTTGCCAGGGCGCCGCGCGGCGGGCGCGTCAGGGACGTGACGTCCCGCTCCCCGCGGAGACGCTACGAGCCAGCGCCGTGACGCAAGTGCTTCCGGCCGTGCCCATATATGGCAAAGCGGCGGCCCCCTTTTCCCCTCGCGGGCGCTGGACGCTGGGCTGCGCGTGCGGCTCTGCGGCGGGAAGGTTCCAGAAGGGCGCGAGCCGGAGCCTTGGCACGGCGGTCTGCCGCTGCCCGTGAGCCCTTAGGGCTGTAACAGGCTTCGGTACAGGCGGTGAGCGGGCCATGGGTGTGCGTTCTGCAGGTTCTGTCACATGTTTCGCTGTTGTTTTGTCAGTAAACCTGTCAGTCGCGCTAGGAAGCCTGCCAAAAAGTCATCGGTGCTGACGGATGGTCGATAGGCGCGTTGTTCTCGTGAGGAGATGCGGGTTTGGAAAAGCAGTGGCGCTGTATTGGCTGCAGAAGCGGGTGTGTGCGCCTCAAGTGGCGGTGCCTGCACGAGGGCTGCTGGCACAGGCAGCGCAAGTGACCCTGCCCGCGGCTGGGCGGCCTTCAGGGTCCCGTCCAACTCCGATGTTGCTGTGAAGAATCAGCCTATAAGCTGATTTACCGCTCGGGCACGAGATCTTGAGATTATAATGGTTCTGTGTGAATCTCGGCTCAAGGCTTGGTAAATAAGCTAATCAAATGTTAACAGTGGCCTAGAGAACAACGCCGAGCGCAGCATTCACAATGCAGCACGGTCCTGTGGTGTGCCTGAGCTTTGGGTGCTCTGTGCAGTGCTCATCTTCCCTTCCAAAGGCCCTGGAGCTCTGAGAGGTGCAGGTAAATAATGATGTTCTGGGGCTGTGGAGCAGCTCCTGTGTGAGGAACAGCTAAATTAATGAGGGCTCTTCAGCCTTAAAGAGGCACCAGTGAGGGAGGTATCTGGCAAGAATTCAGGCATCAAATGAAACGTGGGAAAAATGAGAGTTAAACATCCAGGGGTTGTTCATTTTGTGTTGTGTGTTGGCATGGTAGGTGTTGTAGATAGCACTTTTCTTACACACGAGTCTAGAAAATGAACAGACGAAAAAGCCAGTGAGTGCTGTTAAATAACAATGTGCCCTCTTTGAGTGATGAAGATCTACTTTTTGTAAATTTCTGGGGCTTTGGGGAAATATTCTGGGGATGCAGCATCCCACTCTTACCTTGTCCTTACAGCCTTCTTTGGGTGCCTGCTGCCAGCCAGTGGCAGAAGTCTGTGGGTGACGGCAGAGGAGGAGAACCAGAGAAAGGGAAACTTGGTCTGTGTGACCCTGACTGATCTCTATTGTTTGGTAAGCAGTTAGCTAAACTTTCGCTCTGACTCTGCGCTTCCTTACTGAGGTGTATTTGAAATTTGTATAAGTTATTACCAGATGTGATCTCATACATCCACAATTTTCATCCGTTCAGATCTTTTGCTGATAAAGTCGTTCTTATGGCTTCTGGCGAGCTTTCCAGCCATAGCGGGCAAGCTGGTGACCCGGCGAGATGCTGAAGTGAAACCGACAAACACGTATTATTCTTCTTCTGATATGGAAACAGCGGATATCCACAAGGGACCTCGGTGTTATATCAACAGGATACCACAGGGAAACAAAAGGCGGTCATAACTAACATGTGGGCAATACAGCACCTTTATTACTTCCAATTATGGAGCTCTTGTTCCTTTTTTTCCCTAGCATCTTTGGATTGCAGAACAGATTTTTCAGTTCCTGTTCACTGCTTGGGTTTTGTTTTTATACAAATATTTTGTAACTTGTGCCTGGTTGTTTTTTGCCGACAGGAAAAACTTTAAAGCAGTCTGAATTCTGACTGCATCACAGCTTCTGTTTAGTGAGAATGTAGCTCCCTTTAAATAGCCCAGCTTGAATTTTCTCATGCTAAGGGATAAGGGGCAACCTCATAATGCAGTATTTACCTGTTTTTGTTTGCAAAACTAAGTATTTGTTTTAAATGAGCAGCGGCATTGCAAGGGCCACAGAGTAGCATTGTCAAACCTGAGGCATATCCTCTAAATTCTACAGGATTCAGGTATTTCCAGGTTGCTAGGGTTTTGAGTAACACATCACTTTGGCACTGCTCTGAAGCGTAGTGGGCGTTTCTGTGTAAGAATGATGTTGATTCTGCTGTGGAGCATTTGAACTCCTAATTGTAGGAGGAATGGCAGTTGCTGGTAACTCACAGCTGAGAGAAGGACAAGCTCTGTTACGACATGCAAGTGTGTGGTGTGGCGATTCAACTCAACAGTAACGTGACCTGATGGTGTTGCGTCACTAACCTTGAGGACACAAAGGAAGATAAACTAATTTGCTGCCATTACATAAGAGTTGAGTACAAAGCCAAGTGATGTTTCAGCACAGGTAAGGATTTCATTCTGAAACTTTCAAAGAATTCAGGCCCTCATAGCTTTATTCATAGGAATTGCAGGTCCTCCCAGCTGCAGTTTGCCAAGTTCCCTGTAATGAGGTGCTACAAGCCTGGGTTCCTTAGCTGTGCCTGGGGGTAGGCAGAAAGCATGAGCATGGGATTGCTTGCTGACTGTTACACAGTAATAATCCTGGTATCTGAAATGGTTTTGGCCTGTGTCAACTAGCAATCTCCAAGGTGGTGTGTGGGCATGGTTCAGGGCATAGTATGCCTCCAAAGAGGATTGTGTGTGAGGCCGGGCTACCCCCATGCTCCATGGTTGTACTGCAACATCTGAGCCAGTTTCATACTGCATCTCCTACTTGGTGACAAGTCCTTTACTTATTGCAATGGCTGTGTAAAGCGTTCAGTGCTCCAAGCTTACTAAACTACCTGGGGAGAATTTAAGGGAAACACAAAGTGATTTATTTTACCAAAAGGTAGGTAGGTAGCTGTGTTTGAAGACAAATACGATGAACTAACCAAACAAGAAGACATGCTACTCTACCTGATTGTCTTCAGGATCTTTGCTGAAGCCTTCAAGAAGGCTGAGCTGAGGGGCATGGCAAGCTGCTGGGATGGGTTGTACAACTATTAGAACTGCACAGTGGCACTCAAACAAGCTCCCTTCCCCAGAAGGCACGTTCCTGGTTAGGAACACTTATTTGAAAGAAGTTTTGTGTATATTTTATACACCTCTAAATGCTTAGGGTGATTCTGAGGGCAGATGCCTCACGGTGTGTCAGTTCTGGCTCCTAATACCAGTGCATTTGCTCAAGGCCTGATTTGTAACAGCCTTGCTAATGGAACACCATTTGTTGTAGCTCTGCTCCTTGTGCAAAGGCATGACAGGAGTGCAGTGTTCTTGCTCCTGATACCTGGACAGGATTAATGTGGCTTCTTGATAAGCCTGTCCCTGTGATGTATAAATAAATAGTCTTTGCCAAGAGGGCTTTAGCACTTCAGGGTAGAAATATTTTATTTTTCCTCTTAATTTTTATTACCTCTAATGTGAGAACACTTACAAATGCTTTTGTGGCAAAAGTAAATACAGCTTGTTTGCTGATTAGTTCTAGAGAACAGCTACGAATAAAGCAGTTCTGGAACTGTCAGTGTCCCTGTGTTTGTGATCAAAGTGCAAACCAATTCCATTTGTTAGATACGTGGAATTGAGTATAAGGCCATGTGATCAAAACCTAACAAAGTCTCATACCAAACCACTTTAACCTTAAAACCAAAATCTGCATTATCTTTCCTCTATACGCCATATTTTTACTTACTGTTGTATCAAACACAGCTAAGGGGCTGAACTGTTGCATGTGCGTGAGATTGATGACCATAGCTAATTTAAGGCACGTGTAGTTGCATGAGGTAATGACCTCACAGCCTCAGTCTTGTCATATGAACAGCTTAATTATTGGATATGGAATGACAGGTTGTGTCCTGCAGATGATCAGACACAGAATGTGCTGAAGACCAGTCTGACTCTTAACCAGAGGTTTGTATTTCCTTTTAAGATACATCATGCACTGAAATAATCATCTGTATTTATGAGGGCAAAGTATCATAGCACAATTTCCACCTGGGGATCTCATAGCCTCCTTATGGGCCCTAATGATAGAAGTGTTCTGTTCTGTCTCACCGTGAGATTTTCAGTGTAGCATTCGAGTACTTTCCCATTAACCTCAAATGAGACTAATATGTAAATGTGTGGTTTGTTCCCGTCTCTCCACATTGGGTTACGGTGTGCCAGTAGTGCAGGTGGGAAGAATTGTGCCTTGCAGTCTGGGGAAGCATGTACTGAAGGGTCTTTTTGTCGCTAGGGAGTTCATTCTCCAAATTTGGACAGGTCCTTAGAAAGTGGGGTCTCTCGCACAGATCAGCACTGCCTTTTTGCCAAGTCCATTTGTGCCACATTAGCTGAGTACAATCTATCTTGGTGTTTCAGATGGCTTCCTTCTCTTTGATATGCTGGTGCCAGGCCTTAAGAACCAAATTTAATTCTGCTGTTCTCAGAATTGTATGAAGAGGGTGAAGAGTGTGATCCCACGTTAACATCCAGGTAAGTTGAAGCACTAAACAGCAGTTTTGGGAAAGTTAAAATCAGCCTACATGGATGTTCCTGCTGTCACCTCTGCTCTGTGTGACTCTCTTTCCTTCCTGGTTTCTTCATAGTTACTTGCTTGATCCTCAGTGAAGTAGTTCAGGAATTTACACTGGCACAAGAAATGTTTTCATATGTGGGAGTTAAATTCCAGCTGAATATGGTCCCTAACCAAAGTTACTGCAGAATCAGTCAAATGCTAATACCGAAGCAACGCAGGAGGCAAATCCTGCTGCTTTTAGCTGGACTGGGCTACACAGCCTCCAGAAACCCCAACCAACTGATGTGATGCACTGTGTCTGTGATCAGTAGGATCAGCTGGGTCAGGAGGAGCACAGGAATAATGTGGTGGTGGTATGAAAACAATCCAGTGGTAACAAGGAACTAATCCAGAGATGTTAAACTTACCTCTGTGTGAGTACCTCTAAAATCAGGATTATGTACTCTGGTAGAGCTACCTGTAGTAGTTTAAAATCTAATCTTTGCTCTCTGAAAGGAGTTGATAACTTTCTTAGGTGACAGGACTCTATGCTGTGCCATCCACAATCCTGTTGGCTGATAAGTAATTATGGGGAGGGGCACAGTTCCCAACTGCCAAGTGACAGAGGCTGAGGTTCCTGTTCCCTTTTACCACCCCCAGGAACATGTGTTAGCCCCAGCTGGGAGAACACTCTGGAGAGACTGGCATGGGAATGCCTGGAACCCAGCCCATCAGCACACAAGTCAGACACCCGGTAACAGTGCTTTTAGGCTCTGCTGCCTCTAAATCTGGGTCTTTGGGGTCCTGAGAAACATCACCCTTTCACCAGAGCTTCTTAGTCCCAAATCTGAATTTCCACACTTGTCTGCATGTAAGGAGCCATATCTTAAACAAACATCCTGTAGTTTTTACTGGAGCGGACTGACGAGTGAAAATATCTTTGTAGCCTTAGTGTTCTGTCTCATGGTGGATGTGCATCATGATCCTAAACTATGGCAAAGCCTTCCAGTGAAACACCAGAAGGCTGTTTATGTCTCCTGGGTTTCGTCAGCCCCTTCCAGGTCCTGTATCTGCAGAGTTCTCGGAGGCACTTGGGATTTCATCATCAGACCTGTAATGCTTCGTGCATTTCTTAGAGCCGGAGCGCCTGGGGTCATGTGGTTATGTAAGAATTTAAACGTAATTTTTTGTTAGGCATACGATTAGATCTTGAGATTGAGGAGAATTGAGCAATATGAACCCAGCAGCCACAGGCGTTGGAAGTAAGGAGCAGCGTTCCGCGTTAACAGCAGCGAGGCGGTCTCTCTGTCCCCGCGGCTCCGGCCGTGAGCGCGCGAGCGGGCGCCAGCGCTGACAGCTGTGGCTGCAGCCGGCCCTTTCTCCCCGCGCCGCAGCCCCGCCGTGAGCCGCGCTCCGCCCGCCGGCGGCATCGCGCAGTGCCCTCTGTTGGCTGCCCGGTTCCCGGCCGCTGCTCGGGGCTGGGCGCCCGGCCTTACGGCCGCCGCGCGTCCCTGCGGCCCCGCGGGAATGCTGCCTGCCCGGTGCGTGACTTCGTTCCTCGCCTTTCGCTGCTCCCTGCTGCTGCCGAGGAAGCTGAGCGCTGACGGAGGAAGGCGGAGGTAACTCGCCGTGCGTGAGTGCTATTGAATGGCGGCGCTGTGAGCCCGGGCGCCCATCTCCAGCCCCCTGCTCGGAGCGGGAACGGGTTGCGCAGGATGCTGGGCTGGATTTTGAACATCTCTAGCAATGGAGTTTCCGCGGCCTGGCTGGGCAACTTAGTCCAGTGTCCAACCGTCCTTATGGTGCCTACGATAAAAACTAGAATAAAATAGGATGCTGGGGACATGCTTTGAAGAGCCTATATTTCTCCACTGTGTTCCCAAACTTTTTCAAATTCCCATAGGTGCTTTGTTGGGGTAGGACCAGGTAGAGACAGGTAGGCTTTTTGTAGAAAGGACAGGTTGTTGATACGTGGCTGGACTTGCCCTTGGAGTTCTTTGTGTGGCTGTGTATCAGCTGTGCAGTCTGAAAACTGACATAATTTCTGATGGGGTCTCTTGTGCTTAATCCTCTTGAATATGTGTATGTGCTGACCTTGGGTGCAGTTTATCTTATGAAACTTTGGACAAGATGATCCCATAAGCATCATGCAGATTTGGAGGCCCAGCAGCCTCCCATCAGATTTTCCCTAGGAAATGGTAGAAAGTCTGTGAGAAAGATCATGGGGCTGGGATCTGGCACCTGGGAGAGGTTCCCACCGGCTGTGCTGCTAAGCAGGGGAAGGTATTTGCTTTTGCCTGTTTTGCTAAGTCTGTTTTTTGATTCTCTGAACCATACCCACAGGAAAGATTTAAAGAGATGTTGGGCCAGTGACAGAGCCCATGGCTGAATGTCTGGAAGCATTAGTATGCTGCCGAGGAGATGTTCAGGTGGCACTCAGGTTGAAGGGCTGTTTGATATGGAGGAGGCTGTTGTGCTCTGCGTATAAGCTAGGGCTGACTTCTAAAGTGAAAACAAAAAAAAAACCAGGAAAACATAGCCCTGCAGGAAGGAATATCAACACTTTCTGCACTGTCATAAGTTATTTGTGTCATTTCTGCAAAATGAATAGCGAGAGGAAAATGTATGTCCACATATGGCTCATGATATTGATATCTAATCTTTTGAACCTGGAATGAAAGTCCTTGTGTGGCGAGAGGGGAGGTAGGGGTAAGACATGGGTAAGAGTTTGGGTCAGTGCACAGTAGAGCCTCCTGCTCTGTGAGCAGCAGCACTGCAGCCAGTTCAGAAAAAGTAACTTGCCTTTACTTCTTTCCTACAAGAGGGAAGGCGCACTGCAGCACTTCCAAGCCCAGCGCTGGCCTGCTGCTGCTGCTGCCACTGATGGCTAGGACTTTTATGTGGTTGAAAAACAGGCAGGGGACAGGCACTGAGAGCAACTTGGGAATAGTTTTGGAGAGTGGAGGAGAGTGAGGCACCCAGAAGCAGAGCTGTGCCAAGCTTTGAACGATAACCTCCTGAAAATGCAAAGGTCCATCCAATGCCTGCTGACTGCAGTGTGATACACCTTGCTTTGTCAGGTCTGTAATTGCTACAAAGTGCTCTAGTTATTTTGTTATTCTAGTTATACTCTGCTCTCACCAAAGACAGATCTACAGGTGTTGATCTGGTCTCCTGGCTTCCTTTGTACCTTGTACCTTTGTACCAGTCTCTTACATCCGCTTTCTCACTATGCAGGTCAGAGGACCAAGACGGTATAGATTGAGATGCGTTCACTTTGTTGTGCTTCTTGGGTGAATGGATCATTGGTATTCTGAGTGGCCCATGGAGATCTCCCTTCAGAAACAGTGTAATTCATGTCATGGTTTTCTTTTCTCAAAGGGGAGAATGCTAAAATTCAGCATGTGGAAAGCAGAGCATTGGGAGACCTGGTGCTTGCTGTCAGCTGTGCAATGGGGATGGCCACTGTTGAGCTTGTGGTGGTGGTTAATGTCCTGGGTTCAAAAGGAAAGAGCTTAGCAACTGTAGAGTCCTGCCTTGTCCTATGTGCCTTGCTCTGTCTGATCTGAAGACCTTCAGAATGGTACTGCAGACATAATGAAATGTACAGGCAATCTCCATCTCTTGTTTGTTCATCCTGGCAACAGTGGCCTTTTGCTGTGTTGAGTTCCTTGTGAGTGAAGTGTGTTAGCCCTGGGGAAGCTGTCCTTGTCTGAGGACTGTCAAACACTGCCCTTGCTTTTGGTGGGAGCCCTGACCTTGGAGCTGCAGAGCTGTAGATGCTTTCTGCAGAGTGATCTTAATAATTTACCTTGTTTAGAAGGTCTAACAGCTGAAAGACTTGGGAAGTCTCTCCTTTTGCTCAGCTTTCCCTATAAGATCCCTCTGCTAATGCCTCTGCCCGAATCCCCTGGTATCCCAGCTAGCTCCTGTCAGAGACTGAGAAGCTGGACCCAGGTGTTTGGCTGAACACAGGGAACAAGTTTATCATTTGCTTCCCTCTGCATGGCAGTCTTTCTGCTGGCAGGCAAGATGTTCAAGTAAAAGCTTCATAGCCATCGCTGATTCTACCTAGCACTTTTTTCTTTTCCTTGGAAGCCTTACGTGCAAAGTCTTGCACTGTGCCTTTCAACTCCGGCTCTGGATCAAGTCTTGCAAAGATTGGGTGCAACTGCAAGACTCCTGGAGGGATTTTTATTCTCACATCAGATGAAGTTGGGGTTTAAAAAAAAAAAAAAAAAAGGGGGGGGGGGGGGGGTAAATCACAGAGCCAGCAACTTTTTTGGCGTCTCTGGGATTGCGGCTCCTCCTGCCCCTCTGGCCTTCAGAAACACATTGGGCAGAGCTGCCCGCATAGCAAAACAAATGCATCCCAAACCAAAACAAACAGAGTTGGGTGTTGGTAGTGAATGGGCCAACATCGTGTGCTGGCGTCATCTCTGCCCACTGCCAGCATGTTGTCATAGGAACAGCTGGATTATTTTACAATCCAGCTGTGGAGCCAATTCTCTAAAGGAATAGCCTGGAGGGAGGAGAGGGGCGGGCAAAAGGGAGCATTGCTGCATTTTCTGGTAAGCGAAGGGAGGAGGAGTATTAATGGAGAGAGGAAGGGAGGGATTATAAGTGAGTGCCATCTATCATAGCCTGAAACCACAACCAGTCATTTCCAGATAACTGACTCTGTATTGCTAGCTGGATCTGGGAAGTAAGAGCTGCTCTGTGGGAGAAGGGGTGAGGATAAAAGGAAATCTTGTCCTGCGGTGGCCATGGCTTGGAGCTGTGCAGTGGGCTGCACCTACACTGTGCCCCACCACCCCAGGAGGTTGAAGCTGATTAAGTAATGGCTTCTCACTCACCCAGAAAAAGATTCACGGCCATTTCTCTTGCACACTCAGAACATTTGGTGCCGTGCTTCTTCCCTGTGAGCTCCTTGGATTGTGTTTGGAGCCTGCAGAGCACCGAGGGCGTTGTAGGTACC